CTAAATAGAGGCAATAAAGTAAACACAAACTGAGGGAATGCTGGAAATAGAAAAATTGAGTAAACAATCTGAAACTACATATGCAAGCATAACCAACTGGCTATAAGAGATGGAAGAGAGAATCTCAGGAGCTGAACATAAATTAGAAGAAATAGATTCACTAACCAAAGATAATCTTAATTCCAACAAATCCTTAACAATATTGAAGAGGTATGGGGAGAGGGGACAGCCTCTCAAAGACTTTTATCATGAATGGGGGTTGGATTTTGTCAAAGGCTTTTCTTCAGCATCTAATGAGATGATCATGTGATTTTTGTTTCTCAGCTTATTTATATGGTGGATTACATTGATGGATTTTTTTTATGTTGAACCATCCCTGCATCCATGTAATGAAGCCTACTTGATCATGGTGGATGAGTTTTCTGATGTGTTCTTGGATCCGATTTGTCATTATTTTATTGAGTATTTTTGCATCAATGTTCACGAGAGCTATTGGTCTGAAGTTCTTTTTCTTAGTTGTGTCTTTGTGTAGCTTGGGTATCAATGATATTGAAGCCTTGTAAAAAGAGTTTGGCAAAGACCATTCTGCTTCTATTGCATGGAATACATTGAAGAGAACTGGTATAAGCTGTTCTTTGAATTTCTGATAAAATTCTGCACTGAAACCATCTGGCACTGGGCTTTTTTTGTTTGGGAGACTTTTGATGACTCCTTCTATTTCCCTAAGTGTTATAGGTCTATTTAAATTGCTTATCTGTTCTTGATTTAATTTTGGTAAGTGATATCTATCCAGAAAATTGTTCATTTTCTTTAAATTTTCAAATTTTGTGGAGTATAGCTTTTCAAAATATGACCTGACGATTCTCTGGATTTCCTCACTTTCCATTGTTATATCTCCCTTTACATTTCTGATTTTTATTAATTTGCATGTTAATACTTTGTCATTTGGTAAGTTTGGATAAAGGTTTGTCTATCTTGTTGATTTTCTCAAAGCACCACCTCTTTGTTAGATTGACTCTTTATATCGTTTTCCTGGTTTCTACTTTATTGATTTCAGCCCCCAATTTGATTATTTCCTGGTGTCTTCTCCTCTGGGGTGAGTTTGCTTCCTTTTGTACTAGAGCTTTCAGTTGTGCTGTTAATTCTCTAATGTGACTATTCTCCAGCTTCTTCATGTGGACACTTAGTGCTATGAACTATCCTCTTAGCACTGCTTTCAATGTGTCCCACAAGTTCGGGTATGTTGTGTCTTCATTCTCATTGAATTCGAGGAAGTCTTTAATTTCTTTTTTACTTCTTCTTTGACCCAGGAATGGTGCAATTGTGCATTATTCAATTTCCATGAGTTTGCAGAGTTTCTGTGATTTGTGCTGTTGTTGAATTTTAACATTAAAGCATGGTGGTCTGATAAGATACATGGAGTTATTCCAATTTTTTGTACCTGTTGAGGTTTGCTATGTTGCCAAGTATGTGGTCAATTTTTGAGAAGGTTCCATGTGGCTCTGAGAAGAAGGTATATTCTTTTGTGTTTGGATGGAGAGTTCTATAGATGTCTGTTAAACCCAATTGGGTCATAACTTCCATTAGATCCTTAATATTCTTGTTAAGTTTCTGTCTTGTGGTCCTGTCTAGTGGTGAGAGCAAGTATGTGAGGTTTTATATGTGCTCTGAGTTTTAGTAATGTTTCTTTCATGAACATGGGTGGCTTTGTATTTGGGGCATAGATGTTCAGAATTGAGACTTCGTCCTGGTGGATTTCTCCTGTGATGAGTATGAAGTGCCCTCCTTTATCTCTTTTGATTTATTTTAAAGTCTAATTTAGATATTAGGAAATTCATTTGATTGGAAAATCTTTTCCCAACTCTGAAGTAACATCTGTCTTTGAAGCTAAGTTATGTTTCTTGTATGCAGCAGAAGGATGGATTTAGTCTTCTAATCCATTCTGTTAGCCTGTATCTTTTTATGGGTGAGTTAAGACCATTAATATTGAGGTAAATTAATGACCATTGATAGCTCATTCTCACTTGTTTTGGCATGGTTGTTGTTGGTGGAATTGTATGTGGATTTCCACCTCTTTTCCTTTTGCCTGTTGGTAAAGTGGGATTATCTATTGTCTGTGTTTTTCTGGTTGTAGGTAACTTCCTTGGGTTGGAGTTTTCCTTCCAGAATTTTCTGTAGGGGTGGGTTAGTGGATATGTATTGTTTAAATCTGGTTTTGTCATGAAATATCTTGTTTTCTCCATCTACAGTGATTGAGAGCTTTGCCGGGTATAGTAGTCTGGGCTGGCATCCGTGGTCTCTTAGTGTTGGTAGAATATCTATCCAGGACCTTCTGCCTTTCAGAGTTTCCATGGAGAAGTCAGGTGTAATTCTGATAGGTTTGCCTTTATATGTTACTTGGCCTTTTTCCTTAGCTGCTCTTAATATTCTTTCTTTATTCTATATATTTGGGGTCTTGATTATTATGTGGTGAGGTGACTTTTTTTGTGGTCCACTCTATTTGGTGTTCTGTAAGCTTCTTGTACCCTCATTGGCATGTCTTTCTTTAGGTTGGGAAAGTTTTCTTCTATGATTTTGTTGAATATGTTTTCTGCCCCTTTGAGGTGGTTTTCTTCTCCTTCTTCTATACCTATTATTTTTAGGTTTGGTCTTTTCATGGTGTCCCATATCTCCTGGAAGTTTTGTGTTAAGGATTTGTTGGACATAAGGTTTTCTTTGGTTGATGAATCTATTTCTCCTAGTGTATCTTCAACACTTGAGATTCTCTCTTCCATCTCTGCCATTCTGTTGGTAATGCTTGTATCAGTAGTACCTGAACGTTTGCCCAGCTTTTCTATTTCCTGCCTTTCTTCAGTTTCTTTTTTTATTGTCTCTAAGTTTTCAACTCTTGCAGTGTTTGCATTGTTTCTTGCAATTTTCAGTTTATCTTTTCGTCCATTTGTTCCCTTTTATGAATGTTTTGGTTTGTTTTTTCTTCCATTTCTTGCATTTTTGGCTTTGTTTCTTCTTCCTTTTTCTGCTTTTTTTGTTTGTTTCTTCTTCCATTTCTCTCATTTTTTGCTTTGTTTTTTCTTCCATTTCTTGCCTTTTTTGCTTTGTTTTTTCTTCCATTTGTTGCCTTTTTTGGTTTGATTTTTCTTCCATTTCTTGCATTTTTTGGATTGTTTTTTCTTCCATTTCTTTGAGGGATTTTCCTATATCCTCTTTTAGGGCCTCTATCATTTTCATGAAATTGGTGTTAAGGTCATTTTCTTCTGCTTCGTTTGCATTGGAATGTTGGAGTCTTGCTGGTGTGGAGTCTCTAGAATCTGGTGGTGTCATATTTGTTTTTCTGTTGCTGAGTGTGTTTTTGTATTGTCTCTTTCCCATCTCTTCTTCTAGTGGGTTCAGAAAGAGCCCCTTACTGGTCTGGTGGTTAGGGGACCAGAGTTCCCTTTTGGTGGGGGCTAGAAAGTCCAATAATCTGGTAGTTCTTCTATTCCCTGTCCTCGTTCTGGTTCCATTGGTAGAGAAGAGGAACAGGAATCTGTGGTGCTTAGCCTCCTACCTGGTCCCCTGGACCCTTTGCTGGATCCTATTGTACCTGATCCTGCCGGAACAGCTGCTCCCCTGGTCTCCTGGCTCCTCTGGTTTCCTAGTCTCGGTGGTGGGAGAGAAGTCCTGGAGTGTGGGGTGTTTGGCTCCCGCCGGGATTGGAAGCTCTGTGCAGTTCCCAAGTGATCCCCAGGCACTGGAACAGAGGCCCAGAAGCAGGGCCTGTTGTACCTGATCCTGCCGCCGGAACAGCTGCTCCCCTGGTCTCCCTGGCTCCTCTGTTTCCTGGACCCTCCGGAAGAGCTGGTCCCCTGGTCTCCCTGGATCAGCTCTTATTCCCATTTTTCTGAGGAATCTCCATACTGATTTCCAAAGTGGCTGTATGAGTTGGCATTCCCTCCAGCAGTGGAGGAGTGTTCCCCTTTCGCTACAACCTCTCCAGCATAAATTGTCATTGGTTTTTTTGATTTAGCCATTCTGACAGGAGTAAGATGGTATCTCAGAGTTGTTTTGATTTTCATTTCCCTGATGGCTAGGGTTGTTGAGCACTTTCTCAAGTGCCTCTCAACCACTTTAGACTCCTCTATTGAAAATTCTCTATTTAGGTCTGTACCCCACTTTTTAATGGCATCCTTTGTTATTTTGGAGTCTTGCTTCTTGAGTTCTTTGTATATTTTGGAGATCATCCCTCTGTCAGATCTGGGGTTAGTGAATATCTTTTCCCATTCTGTGAGCTGCCTTTTTGTCTTGCTGACTGTATCCTTTGCCTTACAGAAGCTACTCAGTTTCAGGAGGTCCCATTTATTAATTGTTGACCTCACTGTCTGTGTGTTATATTCAGGAAGCTGTCTCCTGTACCAATTTGTTAAAGGGTACCACCCACTTTCTCTTCTAAGAGATTCAGTGTGGCTGGATTTATGTTGAGGTTTGATCCATTTGGACTTAAGTTTTGTGGATAGTGATAGACATGGATCAATCCACATTCTTCTACATGCAGCATCCAGTTATGCCAGCACCATTTGTGGAAGATGTTTTCTTTTTTCCATTGTACATTTCTAGCTTCTTTTTAGAAGATCAGATGTTCATACATGTATGGGTTAATATCGGGGTTTTCAATTTGATGCCATTGGTCTACCTGTCTATTTTTGTGCCAGTACCAAACTGTTTTCAGGACTACAACTCTGTACTAGAGCTTGAGGTCAGGGATGGTGATGCCTCCAGATGTTGCTTTGTTGTGTAAGGTTGTTTTGTCTATCTTGGATCTTTTGCTTTTACATACAAAATTGATTATTGTTCTTTCAAGGTCTGTGAAGAATTGTGCTGGTATTTTAATGGGGATTGCAATGAATCTGTAGATTGCTTTTGGCAGGATTGCCATTTTTACTACATGGATCCTACCTATCCAAGAACATGGGAGATCTTTCCATTTTCTGAGGGCTTCCTTAATTTCTTTCTTTAAAGACTCAAAAAAAATGGAACGCTTCACATATTTGCATGTCAGCCTTATGCAGGGGCCATGCTAATCTTCTCTATATCATTCCAATGCGAAAATGACCAACAGAGTAGGCAACTTAAAACTTAAATATAGCCCCCTACAAGACAAGATTTTTTTCATGACCGCTGTCCTAAAGACCAATATAGGTTCATTTCAAGATGACATTACCAGGCTATCAGAAACAAGTCATTCCATGTCTGATGACTTTATTAATAAAGCTCATATCTGGAACTTCAGATTGGAAGGCTTACAGAAAATATGCATTCCATGTCTGAGGATAATGACCATCTATCAGACAGAACACTGCTCCTAGAAGGCAACTTCCATGGCATTCAGATAAAATCTAAAGAATGAGAATATTAAATGTTTGTAATCACATATAAATGATGAATCCAAGAAACTGACAGATTCTGTGAAGTACTTAGAAATTTATTTGGCCCAAGAACTTCAAGCACTCAGAAACAATGATAAATAGATTGTAGGTCTCAGATGACCCCCAATTTGATACATGAAAATCATACATACAAGCAACAGGTCATGAAAGAGGTTTATCTATACCTCTCAGACCTTGGAAAGACCTTTCTAAGGTTTTTATGCCCTCTCCTATGCTCTTTCCAGTATCTACGATTTGGAAGCAATGAAAAATGCCCAAGTGGCTTCATTGCTTAGCAATGGGAACCAATACTGATGAAGAACTTGAAGGAAATCAAGGAGGCTATTGTTTCTTATGGTATTCATTCTCCTTATTTCAGAGTTACTGAACTCTTGGGCAAACATGAATAGGGTAACCCCTAAGGATTGGAGTAAATTGACCCCAGTGGTGCTAGAAAATTCATCTCAACTACAATAGAGAGCTTTATGGAGGGAAGAGGCAAAAGTCCGCAAGCTTCAAGGATTAAGGAAAGGCTGTGAAGTTCCCCAAGAAAAGATTCTTGGTGAGGGTCTTTATGCTAACACACAGGCTCAGGCTGCATATGATAAACGCATCTTGTCTTTATGCACAGCAGCTCTGAATGCTCTGGATGAGGTTCATGAACCAGGAGAGACAATAGAACTCTATACCAAAGTGGTACAGGGACTGAGAGAAAGGTTCACTGAATTCTTAGAAAGATTGTCTAGAGCAGTTGAATTACAGGTAGCTGATTCAGATTCTAGGTGAATACTTATACAATCTCTAGCTTAAGAGAATGCAAATACACAATGCAAACCGGTACTTTGGCCATTAAAAATCAGATCAGCACCATTGGAGGAATGGGTCCTGTATACAGCTAACCTTGAGTATAAGATCAAGATACAGAAGCTAGGATTGGAGAAGTGATTTTTAAAGGTTTGAAGAGGCACCAAAGTGCCAAATGCCTTCACTATGATGATATAGATGCTTGGGTAGGAGAAGCAATCTCCAGAGGTTTAAAAAGACATCGAAATACCAGATGTTTTACCTGTGGTAAAATAGGACATCTAAGAAGGAACTTTAGGTAAAGCATTCCTAGAAATAATGTTCCTCCAAGAATGACCCAAACAGAAGGCATCAGCATATCTGAATTACATAGAAGATAACACAAAGGCTGACACTGGACTAATGAAGGTAGGTTGACCACAGACAGACAAGGTAACCCTTTACAATCAGGAAACTCCTTGGGGAGGGGAGCATTTTGAAGGACCCCATATCAAAAGTGGTTGTGTCATTCCCAGTCACTGTGGAGGACAATCTCTCTCAGGATGATTAGAAGATTCATTGCCTATTGTAAAGAATGATAATGCTATGGATGATATATTAGCTACTGAGGATGAATCAAATGTAACTGGAGAAAACAAAAAGAAAACATATATTTTGGCAAACATCTCTACAGAATCACAGACCCAAATTAGCAGTTACAGTAAGTAATGAGGTGATTATCAGCCTTTTAGACACTGATAATGATTTCACCATCATACCTCAAAATTTTGGCCTTCAAGATGGCCCCTAGTAGAGGTAAATGTTCATTTCTTAGGGACTTGAACCCTATCTCAAGTAAAACAAAACATGAGGTGGGTTCAGTGTGTAGGGCCAGAAGGACAGAGGAAGACAGAGGATATATGTTGTCGAAATCACAGTAAATCTCTGGGTTTGTGATCTATTGCAACAATAGAATACACAGATTAACATTCCTCCTGTATCAGATATTAATCATAAACAATCTCTTAGTGGTAGAAAAATATTGTAAGGCACTACAGAAAACAGATTTCAACAATCCAAGTGGTACATAAACAGTATATGTGTGCCAAACCTACAGTGGAACCAAAAGCCCTACCCTTAAAATGGCTAACAGATGAAACTGTCTGGGTAGGACAATGGCCTATGACCTCTGAGAAGCTAGAGGTGTTAGAAAAGCTGGCTCAGGAACAGCTAAATGCTGGACATGCTGAAGTATGTTCATGGAATTTTCCTGTATTTGTTATAAAAATGAAACCTGGTAAATGGATGATACTTATAGATCTAAGAGCCATCAATAAAGTAATTCAGCCTATGGGCTCTCCACAGTCTGTGATGCTATTACTTTCACTGATACCTAAGGGATGGCCTTTTATAGTCATTGATCTAAAAGATTGTTTCTTAAATATACCTTTATAGGGAAAAATTTGCCTTTACAGTGCCTCCCTATAATAATTCTCAACCAGTTAGGAGATACAAATGGAAGGTTTTGCAATAGGGAATCTTAAATAGTCCTACCCTGTGCAATATTTGTGCAAAAACCTTTGGATATAATTCAGAAACAATTTTCACAATACATAATTTGCCATTATATGGATGATACATTGTTGGCTGATTCAAAGGAAGGAACTTTGAAGAAGATGTTTGAGACAGTAAAGGAAGTTATACCTCACTGGGGATTACAGATTGCCCATGAAAAAATACAAAGAGGAGATTCTATTGATTATTTAGGATAGAAAATAGCTCTACAAAAAATTAGACCACAAAAATTACAAATCAGGAGAGATCATTATCAAACTCTTAATGATCTTCAAAAAATACTAGGAGAGATTTCTCAACTACATACAGATAATTATTGGAGTAGAAGGCTAACAGAATGGATTAGAAGACACAAATCCATCCTTCTGCTGCATACAAGAAACATAACTTAGCTTCAAAGACAGATGTTACTTCAGAGTTGGGAAAAGATTTTCCAATCAAATGAATTTCCTAATATCTAAATTAGACTTTAAAATAAATCAAAAGAGATGAAGGAGGGCACTTCATACTCATCACAGGAGAAATCCACCAGGATGAAGTCTCAATTCTGAACATCTATGCCCCAAATACAAAGCCACCCATGTTCATGAAAGAAACATTACTAAAACTCAGAGCACATATAAAACCTCACATACTTGCTCTCACCACTAGACAGGACCACAAGACAGAAACTTAACAAGAATATTAAGGATCTAATGGAAGTTATGACCCAATTGGGTTTAACAGACATCTATAGAACTCTCCATCCAAACACAAAAGAATATACCTTCTTCTCAGAGCCACATGGAACCTTCTCAAAAATCGACCACATACTTGGCAACATAGCAAACCTCAGCAGCTACAAAAAAATTGGAATAACTCCATGCATCTTATCAGACCACCATGCTTTAAAATTAGAATTCAACAACAACACAAATTGCAGAAAACCTACAAACTCATGGAAATTGAATAATGCTCAACTGCACCATTCCTGGGTCAAAGAAAGAATAAAAAAAGAAATTAAAGACTTCCTCGAATTCAATGAGAATGAAGACATACCCAAAGCTGTGAGACACTTTGAAAGCAGTGCTACGGGGGAAGTTCATAGCACTAAGTGCCTACATGAAGAAACTGGAGAATAGTTATACTAGAGAATTAACAGCACAGCTGAAAGCTCTGGAACACAAAGAAGCAAACTCCCCCAGGAGGAGTAGATGCCAGGAAATAATCAAATTGAGGGCTGAAATCAATAAAGTAGAAACTAGGAAAACAATACAAAGAAACAATGCAACAAAGAGTTGGTTCTTTGAGAAAATCAACAAGATAGACAAACTTTTGTCCAAACTTACTAAACAGCAGAGAGTGAACATGCAAATTAACAAAATCAGAAATGAAAAGGGGAACATAACAACGGACTCTGAAGAAATCCAGAGAATCATCAGGTCATACTTTGAAAACCTGTGCTCCACAAAATTTGAAAATTTAAAGGAAATGGACGACTTCCTTGGATAGCTATCACTTGCCAAAACTAAATCAACAACAGATAAGCAATTTAAATATACCTATAACCCCTATGGAAATAGAGGCAGTCATCAAAAGTCTCCCAACCAAAAAAAGCCCAGGTCCAGATGGCCTCATTGCAGAATTCTACCAGAAATTCAAATAACAGCTTATACCAATTCTTCTCAAAGTATTCCACACAATAGAAGCAGAAGGGTCTTTGCCAAACTCTTTCTATGAGGCTTCAATAACCTTGATCCCCAAGCCACACAAAGACACAACTAAGAAAGAGAACTTCAGACCAATATCCCTCATGAACATTGATGCAAACATACTCAATAAAATACTGGCAAATCGGATCCAAGAACACATCAAAATAATCATTCACCAAGATCAAGTAGGTTTCATCCCAGGGATGCAGGGATGGTTCAACATATGAAAATCCATCAACGTAATTCACCATATAAACAAGCTGAAAAACAAAAATCACATGGACATCTCACTAGATGCTGAAAAAGCCTTTGATAAAATCCAACACCCCTTCATGATAAAGGTCTTGGAGAGATCTGGGATAACAGGGACATAATTAAACATAATAAAAGCTATATACAGTAAACCAACAGCCAACATCAAATTAAATGGACAGAAACTCAACACAATTCCTCTAAACTCAGGAACAAAACAAGGCTGTACGCTCTTTCCATACCTTTTCAACATGGTACTTGAAGTTCTAGCTATTGCCATACAACAAAAAAGGGGAATCAAGGGGATACAAATTGGGAAGGAAGAGGTCAAACTTTCACTACTTGCAGATGATATGATACTTTACATCAATGACCCAAAGAACTCTACCAGGGAACTCT